TAGGAAGGAGATGAGGGGTTGCATGGTGTGATTCTGGGTGGATCTGGGAATTTTTAGGGTTTCAAGTGCTGACCTCAGATCTGAGATTCGAGGCGATGGAGGGGGATTTGAGAGGAACTGTTTAGAGATTTGGGATGGGAAGGTGGAAGGGAGTTCATGGTGTTAATTTGGTGGCGATTGGACGCCGGCGCCGCCACCGGACGGTGGNTTTTTCATTCTTTTCCTCTTCTTTTAATTTTCAATTTTCCTTTAAATTAAAACTAAAAATAAAACCTAGATTAATTCCTAAATCGAATAATCGTACCACAATAAATTAATTAACCCTAACTAACAATTACCACAAATAATTGAATACCAAATTGAAAGAAAAACTCCCAAAATTCGAAACTCAAATTAAAAAGCGTAAAAATGAGTTATTTTTGTGATTTTTCTATTTTTGTAAAGCAACTAAATTACTAATTAATTCAAAAATGCCAAATTAAATCTCAAATGCAAATGCAATGTATTTTTTGTATTTTTTCATGATTTAAATAAAATAAATGTGCGCATACAAATGCAAGAAAATAATGAAAAATGCTACAAAAATCTACGAAATTGCAAATAATGGAAAAAATTCATTTTTCTTGAATTTATGGGAGTAATTCACCTAGGGCAAAAATCCCGTGCTCACACCCTTTTCTTCAAAATAGTCCAGCAACACCCAACGCTTAGCTAAATTAGAGAACCGAGATTATGCATTTCTAATACTACCAATCAACTTTTGAAATATCCAACTTAACACTAATAACCAAACTCAGCCCACTTTATTCTTTATGTCACTCTTCATATACTTCAGGAATTTAAACTTTATAAACAAATTAAAATAGTAATTCATGAGTCAAGGAAATTAAACAATCCTAAGTATTATAAGGCTTGTCATTCCCATCTACAGATTGCCCTCAAAGTCTAAGGCCCAAAAGGGACCTAAACATTGCAAAGCCAAGGCTGAGGAGCGGGGATGCAGGATCGAATCCATACCAAAGCAGAACCAACATTTGCACTCAAAAATAACAAATAAACCTAATGGACCTTCAGCAGTACATATTGGCTTAATACACAAAGAAAAGCTTGAATGTTGTTGACTTTCATTACACTCCCAAAAACAACACAGTCTCGAATTCAATTCTATTGATAACAGAAATATCAAGTATTCATGCTTTAATTCAATTCTAAGCTAACTCACAAATAAACATGTAAAATTTAACCTCAGCTAAATCCTTTCTCAATACCAACAGTAGCAGAAGCCAAAAATTAACATATCACTCACTTGAATCCAAAAATCATACTCAAACCCTCACAGAATCAACTCGACACGCAAACATTGATTCAGTTTACAACATTTTAATAACATGAGAAAGGCTAAACTAAACATGCATAGTATAGGATTTACATACAGAATACTACAGAAATGAAAGAATCAGAAGAAATAAAACTTAAAACACAACTTGTATTCAATCAGGTTTCCACTCGAAATACATATTCACATTCACTTGTTATCCAATGGTTTGAAAAATACCTGGAATGCAATAGGAAAACAAAGAGAAATGAGGAGTTAGCAGCAGCAACAACACCAACTCAAAAACCCAGCAATACCAAACGAAAAATCAGCTTCTTCCAACCAATAGAGAACCCGAATGAACAACAAACTTTTGAATCTCAAAACCCTGATTAGCTAAGAAATTTCAAGGCAGAACTGAACCAATTTTCACCTAAGAAATGCAGGGATTTCAAAATTTTAAAGCTTAGCCGTTTTCAATTTTTCAGTCTCTAAAATCTCTGACTTCATAGTGAAGAAACAATGCCTTTATAATGAAGTTTTAGGGCAGCAGAATGAGTTCAGACTTTTGCCCTTTACCCACTTTGGAATTTTTGTTTTTCCTACTATACCCTTAATTTAAAATCAGTTTTTCAAAATCATCCCCAAACCCACCTTCTAGGAAGCTTCCCAAGTCAGTTACAAATGATTCCCTAACCTAAATTCCCAAAATTAACCCTTAAACCCCCTGTTTTTACCCCAGCCTACCACATGTGTCAATTCTGACCCCAGACTCAAACCACAATGAATGGGCTTCTCTTAAAAATGGGTCAGAAATGACCCCAAGGCCCAAAACCAATCAGAGATCCATTTGGTAATTCATGGGAAGCAGAAGAAGAAACCAATTAAATGATTTCAAAACTAAAATTAACTACATGACTGATTAATAATACAAATAAGCATAGAAGGAACTAGGTTATTAAATCGAAACGACCTAATTAAACTAACTATAAAACTAAAACAAGAAAGACAAAACCAGGATTTTAACATGGCATGAATAAAAGCTAACAGGCCAATGAATAAACCAACAAAAATTAGAGAACAAGCTTTTAAGATTTGAAAAAAAAAAAACTGAAAAGCCAACGGAACAAATACGAACAAAAAATTAATCTAAAGGGAAAACCTAGGTTTGAAACTTTTAACAATTTCCAGTCAGAAAACAAACCACTCAAAGAAGCGGAGAAGAAAAGTAGAGGAGTAGGAGGATGAAACAAGAAAGACGGACAGAAAAATAAAAGAAAAACTTACCTAATTAAACTCAAAGTAACACTGGATATCTTGATTTAACCAAAAATAATGCTAATCGTTTGTTCTTGGTCAAGAACAAGTGAACATCATTGCTTTGTGTTAAATCGACCTTGGGAACTTCAGGAAACTCGGGGATTAAACCTTGCATGTTGCAGATTCCATGGAAGTTGATTTTGGGGTTTAGGGTTTCGAACTCAGATTTGAAATTCGAGCAGATGACAAAGGATTCGAGGGAAATTGGTTAGGGATTGGGAAAGGGGAGGTTGTGAGGATTTTGGGGTGTGATTTTGGAACGGATTGGAGGTGGCGCCGCCACCAGGGAGGGTTGGCGTTTTGGGGCGGCGCTCTAGGGTTTTGAGGGCATCTCTAAAGGTAGAGACGAGTGAGAGAGATGGAACGGGGGGTAGGCCATTTAGACACTTAAATACGCTTAGATAAGCCAGTTCCCAGCCGTTCGATGAGTGAAGATCAACGGCTGGGATCATAGACCTCAAAACGGCGTCGTTTGGATACTTGAATGGGTGGACCAGGTTGGGATGCGGGTTTGGGCCTAAATTTGGATGGGTAAAGGGCGTTTAATCAATTAGGCTTGGGGGAATTGAATTAAATTGGCCCAATCAGACTTCTCTTTCAATTCCTTTTTTTTCAAAATAAAATAAATCTAAGGTAACTCCTAAATATTAAACCTACCAAATTATATTAAAAACTCAACATAATATTTAAAAGAAAAAATAACTCCTAATTTAAAAAAAAAAAAAAGCTACAAAATTCAAAAATTAAAAAGTTAAAATGCAACATGAACTATTTTTTTGTGATTTTTTTTTCTTCATATTTTATAAAACAACTAATTTACTAATTAATCTAAAAAATGTAAAATTAAATCTAAATGCAAATGCAATGTATTTTTTGTATTTTTTCATGAATTAAATAAAATTAAACATGCACAAAAAAAAATGCAAACAAGAAAAACTCTACAATAATTCCTAAAATAACAAATAATTAAAAGAAAAATTTAATTCTTTGAAATTTTGTAGGAGTAATCCATGTGGGGCCAAAATCACGTGCTCACACTACTAAGACGGTGAATTCGCCTACTTTCCTAACAAAAGAATTACAAATTCGAGTAGACATAAAATTAAGATATACCCCAACTTATTTGAAACAGAGGCATTGTTGTTGGAGTTAAGCAACAAATTGATTTGAGATTATCTTAATTCATCTGGTTCTATGCCTTCAAGGTCTTATAATTATATTGCATGGACAATTCATTTAGATCAATCTTTAGTATGACTTGCTCTAAAATTATGATCATAGTGTTGGACATAAAACTTCACTTTTTCGTATCCAAGTTGCTCATATTTGTATCAGTAGCTCCAAGAGAAGATGTCAAATAAGTAAATAAACTAATACCATACATGATACTGTGTTTTACAGAGCTCTAGCTTGTTAGTTTTTACAGAAGTTACAAGAAAAAAATGGATGAATTTCATTCTCCATTCTAATTTCTGTTACAATATCAAAAAGTTAAAAAACAAAAGAGATTCACCATTTGTAAGAATCCTCTTACTCTTCCCCCTATCCCCACCAGCTCTTACTAAAACGTAAAAACTCTTCCTATTACTTTCTACCTATTCTGCTGGTTGAAGTTAGAGCTACCTCATTTGCCTATTTTCTAGTGAGTGCTTGTCTGGAGAGAAATATGAGATGTCTGATTCGGATGTGTGAAAGGCCGATGATGTACAGGCAGGTGCATGTGATATTTGCCTGATTATTTTCTCACTTACCCGAGGAAATAACCACAAAAACATCATCAAGGGACCACTTGCGTTGCTCTGACTTGCCTGCTGGATTAATCACAGC